TTTACTAGATTTATATTAATGCTTAAAATAACAAATAATTTCTTAATATTTCTATTAATAATTTTTGCAGTATGTATTTATTAGTTCAAGACATAGAATTATCATATTTTCAAAGATAGGCCAAAGAAATAAAAACGAGTGACCCGTTTTTTAAGTGTAATAGACTTTAAATTCAAATTTTACGCATTTATTCAGAAACTTTTGGCTAGTCCCAGTGCTCTCTTATGACCCGAACAGGATCACATCAACCCACTTTTATCGAGCTAAAAATTTATTAAAATAGCCTATTTCTAAAGAAGGTCAAAGAATCTATTCTTCCATTTTTATAATTAGATCGACTCTATACGTTTAATTCAAGCATTTAGCGAAAACTTTTTAAGTCATAAACTTTATTTCTCAACATACTAAAATATACCTGTAACATGTAAACATTGCGTAATAGAACATTTTTATAGTCATGCAAGACAATTTCGGTCCGGAGGCAAGAAAAAGTTTTAATTTGTTTCCTACAGTTATAAATGAATCTAAAAATGTGCAATTTTTTAATATTTATTTTGATAAATATCGAATCTTCGGTGGAAGATAACCTCGGTGGAGAAAAGGCTAATTTTCTGCAGAAAAAGAAAACTGTTTTCTACTAAAGCTTCTTACTCTTAACTGATTTTCTCAAGATTCCTTTCGACTCCTGACCGTCGAGTTCTATGATTGCTTTCGTTAGGGGATATGACAACCGCCCGTTTCTTGTCGGATGTAGGCGACTTCGGCCTTCCGCTCTCCTCAACATCTTTCTGAAGCACCCGAATCACTGGAAGGGAAGTGGAAGAGGGAGAAGAGGAGGAGAACGAAGCGCTTTCCTCTTGCTTTCCATCTCCCGAAGTGTGCCAGTTTCTTAACTCTTTGAAATGAAAAGCAAGCGACTGTTGTAAAAACAGAACTTGCATTAATTCAAAAATATTCCTATTGTCTTAATTTCATCTAACTTGTAAGTAAGAAATATAAATTTTGTATGTAAAATTAATTTTAAAATGCATTAAAGATTTATGATAGAAGATCGTTTTAATTATAAAAAAAATTTATAGTCACAAATCAATATNAAAAATTTGTTTTGCAAAGTAGATTCGAGTAAAGAAGAAGATTTTTCTTGCAAAGAATGTTGAAAACTCTTACCTTCTACGACATATAAAAATATTTCTGTAGTATATGTCAAGAGGCTTCTCATGTAAGATAAATAGAATCAGTTGATTCTTAGTTTAATAAAAATTTGTTTTGCAAAGTACTGTATTTTAAGATATGTTTTTTTATACCTAACAGTTGGATTCTGTTGGTAAATTAGTTTACTGAAATTATTGAAATTGGGCTGCAATTTGAAAATAATTCCAGATCTATAAATTCTTACTGTCGTCCGTCCGTCCGTCTGTTCTTATGTACTTGTATGTACAGTACTTGACAGTACATAGTAAATAAAAATGAATGAATGAATGAATGAAACGTCTGTTCTTATGTAATCTCGAGAATAGACTTAGATGTAATCTCGTACGTCTAGAATGAAATTTCTAGTTCGTTTTCAATGAAAAAATAAATCATTCTTAAGAGGGATGTTTAGTCACTCAATAGATCTCATTATCTTTAGCATATTTCAGAGCCTAACTCGCTCCCTAGTCCTTATAATGTATAAGCTTTTATCTATAAAATTCAGACGACTTTATTTAGCAAAAGTTTAATTTTATTAATTTAATAGATTATAGAGCATCATTTAAGTAAATTACAACAAGGTATATAAAAGGGGGTTACTATACTTCATGTCTATTATTTTTCTGTTCGAAGGATCATCATAAAATCGAAATTTTTTATTCATCTTTATACGGACACGAAACACGAGAACATTAGATTTTCGAATACATATTACTCTTAACATAAATGTATATGCAAGGAATGTTCCGCGATAATGCGTTTCTTCAGCGACAAAGAGGCGGGAAAATCACGAAATTTGATGAAAAATCCAAACGTTTTACATTAAATTTCGTGGCGACACAACAATAAAACTCTGACAATTTGTTGCGAACGGTTGGATTTTTAGTTCGTGTGATTAAAAGTGAATAATTTCAAGCGTTTTTCTGTGTTTGCATTATTTGCAAACATTTTATCGGTAAGTTCAGAACAAGAACTTTCTAAATGTAAACATTTTTGAACATTGTTAAGCCTAATATCGCAATTAGTGGCAATGATTTTCCGACAAAGCTCTATTTAGGTGATAACAGTTGATCGATTTCGTCACAGAGACGAAGAATGGGGTCTTTCCACTTATTCTGAAAGAAAGTTTTAGTTCATTTTATTGTTAATTTTCGTTCAGTCCAAATCCAATCGAATTGTTAAAGCAAAATAGGAATTAATAAGTATATTAAATTGTTATTTTCTGCTATGGTTTATATACACATTATATCCCGTATGAAATACACACCGCTATACTCTATACCTTAATTAATGAGAATTTCTCTATTTTCACAAATATTTTGTCTTATGGCAATCGACAGAATTGTATAATTTGTATAAACTGATTTTTTAAATTATATATCGAACATTAAAACTCGTTGAAAAGATTAAAATTACTATATTTAATAATTAAAGATTTTATCGTAATGTTGATTTCTGACATTTTTATTATAATTAAAACGATCATTTTCTACAATCTTCTATCACAAATCTTTATTGCATTTTAAAATTTATATAGTTTTTACTTACAATTTAAAAGACAATAGGAATATTTGTTAATTAATGCAAGTTCTATTTTTACAACAGTCGCTTCTTTTTAATTGTAGAATTTCAAAGAGTTAAGAAAGTGGCAGACTTGGGCGACGATAAGCAGGAGGAAAGCGCCTCCTCCTCTTCCACTTCCGTTCCAGTGATTCGGGTGCTTCCCAAAGATGTTGAGCGGAAGTCGCCTACACACGACAAGAATCGGGCTGTTGTCATATTCCCTAATGAAAGCACCTCGTCTCTGGTCGAGTATCTGGGGCGACGATACCGGAAAGTGGCGGCGGAACGGACGGTGGAGAGGCGGTCGAGCGAGGTAGGACTGGATGGACAGGAGTCGAAAGGAATCTTGAAGAAATCCGTCAAGAGTAAGAAGCCTTGGTGGAATAGGGTTTTCTTTTTCTGCAGGAAGTAAACTTTTCTTGTGCCGAGGTTACCTTCTTTCGAAGTCGACTTTGCCAAGCGCAAATGACCTTTCACCCGACTAGGACTTAATGAAGTAGACTCGGCTTTTCATCCGGCTTGGTTTCTTTCCTTTCCAAATTACGGCGCTGTCCTAGAACTCTTTCTTCTACTTCGATTAAATTAAAGTGCACAGAACAACGACGGTGTGGTGTCTATCGTCGCAAACTGACGTAGAAAACATAAGACAGTGTTTTTCGGGTTTAAACATTGTTGTTTAAACGACTATAACAGGCCAAGGCGACTTATATTATGCAGACATTGAAACTGTATGCTACTGCTAACAAATTTCAGAACAAATGGTAGAATATGACCAATCCTATGCATTACAAATCGACGTTAAACGTCAATAAAAAATCAAAGAAAACACATTCTAGTCAGTATATGTGCAAACCTGAATAATAGTGACTTGAATGGTGACCCGAATAGACAATTCTATTTACAAATTTAATTAAATTTGTAAATAGAATTGTCTTAATTGTAAAAATTTTTTATATTTAATAAAACTTAATACGAAATTTATTACATTTATTAACTGTTTGAAGATTCAAAATTGATGAAAACAAAATATTAAAATATTACACATTTTTGGATTCATTTATAACTGTAAGAAACAAATTAAAAGTTTTTCTTGCCTCCGGACCGAAATTGTCTTGCACGGAAAGAGGTGCAGTGAATTCGAAAATGACCGTAAAAATGCTCTATCGAGCAAGGTTTAGATGTTACAAATATATTTCAGTATGTAGGGAAAAATATAGGCCTATAATAAACATACAGTGCAGTACAACGGACTTTTTGTTATTTTCACTGTTGCTTTCTTTTTTGAGGGTGCAGCGATAATCCTTGAGCTTGGCTGGTCCCTGCTAACGAAATTTCATTTCAGAAATAATTTTACAAAATTACGTTCCAATATATTTTAATTGGAAATGGTGTTTCTCTTCTCTCAGTGTAACAGGTCCTAGTTAACCGGAACGTCCAAAGTGGACACAAATTATATAAGTAATTAAGAACGAGAAGCACGTTATCAACATATAAAATTTAATGTTTTGAATTAAATTTAAAAGTTAAACAAGGCTAAAAATCTAGGATGTCAACAAGGGAGTATTTATCTCTTGATAATATTTCCTATCGAAATGACACATCATCCGTTGAGTTAGACTCACCTTAGAATTTCTACCAGAAAAATCAGGGATTAGATAATAATCTCACTTTTTATTCGATTTTACAAAATTTGGGTATGTCCAGAGCGTGGGAATTCCCAAGAAACGTTATTTGAGATAATTATCCATGCGCGAGTCGGTTATAAATTATCTCCTCAAAAGTATTAATACTAATGCGCGTCGGAAGAAAAGCGGTTTATATTATAATTCATTGATTCACTTCTTCCTCCGTTTGCTTACTCCCGAGTTCCTCACACGCGATTTTGAAAAAAGAATTTTTAAAGTCTAAGGGTTTGTAAAACAGCCCAGATTTAAACCCTTTTGAAAATTTATGGGCAAAGTTGAAAATGCTGGATGAGGGCATTACTAATAAAGATGAGCTCAAAGAAGTTATTAAAATTAGCTGGAATAAAATAACTTCAAAAACCTTCAATAAATTAAATAGTGCCAAGATAAATAAAAGCTATAATAAGACCAACAAAATATTAAACTTGTATTATTTTGCATATGATTCTTTTATTATTATTGTGGTTCAAATACTTTCTTCCAATACTGCTTTATGTAAAAATTTTTTTTGGAAATAATGGTTTAGATTATCATTTGAAATTAAATTAATTAACGCTTGATAACCCAATGAACAAAAATGTTTATTTTTGTTTTAAACATTACATTTTTATATTCTTGTTTAAATTAAAATATTTTATTTTCTTAAACTATGTTCGAATACATTTTTCCATAAGTTGTAGAATTCCAAAGCAACATTCAATATTTTTATAATTTTTTCCTCAAAACATTGAAAAATAAAAATTTTTAAACTTTATCCAAACTTTTGAAACTAATCCTTCTCATTCAAAGAATAACAATAGTACCGAAATGTTCTTCACACGTACTTCACAGTTCTTGCCTTAGAGTTCTACAAAAATCTGCCAGAGGGAACCAAAGAGAATATAATTTTGAAGATCACCGTATTGAATCATTAAAATAAGTATTTCATTAAATCAAAGAATATCAATTAAATCACAATAATTTCATTTCACTTACCAACGCTTTCACGTTTAATTTCTTGCTGTCAGTTGTCATAATTTTTCGAATATAGAAATCAAAGTAAAAAACTTAAATTTCCTTCACTATTTTCTATTATCCAATCATAATAAACTTTAATCGATGTAAAAATTTCGAATCGAGTCGAATTATCAAAAGTGTGACTACTGATACCTAATAATGTCTTCCTGTGATAATCGGTTAGTTCTCCCATTAATGGTGCGCCTAAGTCTCCCTAAAAATATATTTTATGTTAATAAAAATAATATATTAATTAAAAAAGCATTTCAACAAACAGATTTATACCGATCCTAATGCAGTGGATTTACGCCAGCGAAAAAGGCATAGTTCTTTATCAGAAATAACGTAATTCTTTACTAGACAATAACTGTTTAAACGTATTAAATGAAGATAAATTTCTTGTAGTATAGAAGAAGTGCACGGTCGGTCTGAAAGAAGAAAATAAAAATACTCTTTAATTTCTTAATAAAGTCTTATTTATTATATATTGAAAAGCAGTAAGAGAAAAACAAGAATATTCCAGTAAACTTACTGAATTGAGAGCATCCCCATCCTGCAGAATATACTCCTCTCCATGTTTCTGTTAAATTTAAAGTTTTATGCGGAAGAGCAGCAGGCATAATAGTACTCGATATAGTTATTGGTTTTTTAAGAAATAGTAAAGCTATATTGTCTTCTTCTGACGAACATTTATACGATTTGTGAATGACATAGTTTTTGAAAAAAATCTTAGTTCCTTTATACCTATCGACGTTTCCTATTCTCCCATGAAATGACAAAACGTTTTTACTGTAAAAAATATAAATATTATAATAAAAATATATAAACATTTGGAGATGATATAGCTAAAATTACTTACTCAATCAAACAGCTAGCAGGTCCAATGGCCGATTTTAATGAAATTAAGGAAAACATGCATTCGTATACGCCATTATAATAAACTGCTATCTAAGATAGTGATTAAAATATTTTACAGTTTAGCAGGAATAAAGTATGTGAAATGTATATTACTCGATAATAAACTTTTATTGTTTAAATTTTAAATGATACGTACCAGAAAAGGCCATCTCGAATTCTGTACTGGGTAACCACCAATAACTCTACGCACTCTCTCTAAAAGTGTTTCAAATCAATGCTATCAGTAATTCCTATGTTAAAACTTACATAGAAATTACTGATAAAATAAAAAAAAAATATTAATCTGTATGTGAGATTTAAGAATTTTTTTTAAAGGTTAGTTTTGTTGGGTTGAATTGATGGTATTAGGCAACGCAACACATGGGCGTCAAGGAAGAAATGCCGTCCAAAGTAGAAAATAAATTATGTTGGAAGAAGTTATATATTTTATAAAATTTTCAGAGATAAAAAGTACTTTTTTATCTACTTTATGTATTATAAATTGTAACGGTAATAAATTATATAATTTTCCGAATAAAATAAAATAAAGGAGATTTACCTGACGAGCATAAAACTGAAGTTGATATTAATACAATAAAGAAGAACCTAAGAAAATTATTATACATTATTATGCTAAAACTTTGTAATTTTCAGTAAATGTTATCATCTACACACCTTTAAATAATTTAATAAAGTATAAAGAATAACATACTTTACAAATAAATATAAAAATATTCCACATAAAATTTTAAATAATTGAAAAAATTACATCAAATTTGAATCTCACCTGATTATAATGCTCTTCATATCTACAGAAAGTTGTTAAATGATTAATAATTTTCCGAAATTTAGTTTTTATTAAACATCTTTTATTATCAATAAACAGAAAAAAATATTAAATTTATTTTAAAAGTTATTAGTCCATTCTAGGATAATAGTTGTAAACAAAAGTATATTATTACTAACAATTATTTTTTAATATAAATTTTATAAATAGATAATGACAAAAGTAAATATGTTTACTGAAATATATAACAGAAAAGATTTATTAAATTCTTCAAATTATAATCAATGATATTTTGATATAGATTGTTGAGATTGTTAACAAGAGAATATTATTTTACAACGTTAAATTTTTGATAAACATTTGGTCTAACATTAAGATTGAATACGGTTAATTTTTTCAGTTTATTTAATTCATCACAATATAATTTTTTTTTGTATTAATTTAATTATTAACATTTACATACCAGTCGACTCCCCTATAACACTGATGATTTTTCCGTTTTATATGAATTCCATGTTGTACGAGTCACTTAGATTTTACAAATACTTGAGCCGTTCACAGCCTGGCACACGTATTTGTAAAATCTAAGTGACTCGTACAACATGGAATTCATAAAAAACAGAAAAATCAACAGTGTTTTAGGGGGGTCGACTTTGTACTTTAAAATAAGTTTTACTAGATTTATATTAATGCTTAAAATAACAAATAATTTCTTAATATTTCTATTAATAATTTTTGCAGTATGTATTTATTAGTTCAAGACATAGAATTATCATATTTTCAAAGATAGGCCAAAGAAATAAAAACGAGTGACCCGTTTTTTAAGTGTAATAGACTTTAAATTCAAATTTTACGCATTTATTCTGAAACTTTTGGCTAGTCCCAGTGCTCTCTTATGACCCGAACAGGATCACATCAACCCACTTTTATCGAGCTAAAAATTTATTAAAATAGCCTATTTCTAAAGAAGGTCAAAGAATCTATTCTTCCATTTTTATAATTAGATCGACTCTATACGTTTAATTCAAGCATTTAGCGAAAACTTTTTAAGTCATAAACTTTATTTCTCAACATACTAAAATATACCTGTAACATGTAAACATTGCGTAATAGAACATTTTTATAGTCATGCAAGACAATTTCGGTCCGGAGGCAAGAAAAAGTTTTAATTTGTTTCCTACAGTTATAAATGAATCTAAAAATGTGCAATTTTTTAATATTTATTTTGATAAATATCGAATCTTCGGTGGAAGATAACCTCGGTGGAGAAAAGGCTAATTTTCTGCAGAAAAAGAAAACTGTTTTCTACTAAAGCTTCTTACTCTTAACTGATTTTCTCAAGATTCCTTTCGACTCCTGACCGTCGAGTTCTATGATTGCTTTCGTTAGGGGATATGACAACCGCCCGTTTCTTGTCGGATGTAGGCGACTTCGGCCTTCCGCTCTCCTCAACATCTTTCTGAAGCACCCGAATCACTGGAAGGGAAGTGGAAGAGGGAGAAGAGGAGGAGAACGAAGCGCTTTCCTCTTGCTTTCCATCTCCCGAAGTGTGCCAGTTTCTTAACTCTTTGAAATGAAAAGCAAGCGACTGTTGTAAAAACAGAACTTGCATTAATTCAAAAATATTCCTATTGTCTTAATTTCATCTAACTTGTAAGTAAGAAATATAAATTTTGTATGTAAAATTAATTTTAAAATGCATTAAAGATTTATGATAGAAGATCGTTTTAATTATAAAAAAAATTTATAGTCACAAATCAATATTATGATAAAATCTTTAATTATTAAATATAGTAATTTTAATCTTTCCAACGATTTTTAATGTTCGATATATAATTTAAAAAATCGGTTTATACAAATTATACAATTCCGTCAATTGCAATAACACAAAATATTTGTGAAAATAGAAAAGTTCTCATTAATTAAAAGTATAGAGTAGACCTATAGCGGTGTGAATTTCATACGAGATATAATGTGTATATAAACCATAGCAGGAAATAACAATTTAATATACTTATTAATTCCTATTTTGCTTTAACAATTCGATTGGATTTGGACTGAACAAAAATTAACAATAAAAAGAACGAAAATTATTTTTCAAAATAAGTGGAAAGACCCCCATTCTTCGTCTCTGTGACGAAACCGATCAATTGTTATCATCTAAATCAGGCCTGGCCAACCCGCGGCCCGCCACGTTAAATTGTATGGCCAGTTAAGCGATATTATATAGCCTATCTATTAAAACTTTTGTTTTAATAGATATAGATCCCGTCTCTCTGTGCCTGAAGAGACGGATTTTCGCAAATCATTCCTTGCATATACATTCATGTTAACAGTAATATGTATTCAAAAATGTAATATTCTCGTGTTTCCTGTCCGTATAAAGTTGAATAAAAATTTCGATTTTATGGAGATTCTTCGAACCAAAAACAAAAGTAGACTTCAATTCTAGTAACCCCCCTTTCAACTACCTCGTTGTAATTTACTTGAGTGACGCTCTATAATCTATTAATAAAATTGAACTTTTGTTAAATTAAGGTGTCCGAATTTTATAGATGAAAGCTTATACATGATAAGGACTAGGCAGAGAGTTACGCTCTGATTACGTATTAGACAAAAGAGAAGAGAAAGTAACTGCGAATACGATTTCTAACCGAAGTTGACCCTCGGCTTCTGATAGATTGGGTTGAAATACGAAGAATAGGTGATGACTCCGTGAATGTAAACTCATAAACGAATCTTAGGCGTTAACTGAACCGTTGGATCCCATTGCTTACCCTGTGTTCAGATTTGCCTCTCCAAATACATAAGTTGCCACTAAAAATAATTTTCAATACAATGCAAGAAATCTCCACGGACAATAGGTTGATCGTAAAACATGAAGTTTTGAATATGATTCAGACGGTAATAGAAAACTAATATAATTAGTTAATTGTTTGTTAGTTTTAATTATATCGATATGCTAGTCTTATACATACGAGCATAATCTTGCACCTGAATGTTTTCTGGTATAAATTTTATTCTGTTGTATTTACGACTTCCATCACGTTGATTTCGGAACGACATAAAAGTCGTTTAACACCCGTTTAATTTGGTATAACTGACGAATAAGCTGATATTTTATAGTGGGAGACGTAATTGTGTATAAAATATTAAAAACATCATGAAGCAAATGCGGGACAAAAGTCGGAATGAGACAATTAGAATGCTTAAACAGGTTGATTAATTAATCTGAAGACAATGTAAATACGTGTCTATGTTCTGTTAAGACTGATTGTAAAATAGGAAAAAACGTTCGTTATATGATTGTTGCACAAAGTAAATATTTACATGATGAATTCATGTAAATATTTACTTTGTGCAACAATACCGTTTATTTTTTCTATAGGAGAAACTTCAGATAAGTTATATAACTTATTTATTTATGAATTTTATTAGCATAAATCTGACTTTTAAGTATGAGATGCCGGTATATATATTTTTTTTATTTTAAATTTTCAAAATTTGTAATCTTATAAAACATATTAGCAGATTTTCTAGAATCCTATGGAACTAAGACTTGTAATTGTCTGCAAGAATTTATGTCTGATAAACACAAAGAAGACGTACTGTACTTTTATTGAATATATTAATAATTGCTATAGAACTGCAATCTGTTTTTTAATATATCTATTCTTAATTGAAAAAATAACAGCAAAGTCACTAGTTCTTGATTCGTTGATAAAAATTATCAAACTAATATAGCGATCATCAACCATTTTTGGCTGACACATACTAAAACTAATTGTTAAAATTCTACAACACATTATTCAAGCATAAAGAAATATAATACTAAATGCTTCAAAAATCTCTTTGAAACTTTATTTAATTTTGACACCTTGTAACAATTGTACAGGAATAATACGTTAGTATATTATACAGGCTTCATTGACTACAAATGAATTTCATTTGTTTTGTAGTTAACTATCGTTGTGCTTCTGTACGATTAGTTCTGCTAAATAATTTTATACTTCTTCTTAAAACCAATTATGTCATTTATTTTCTGTGTCTTGACAGGCCTACAGGAGAAAAAAGGTTTGGTTTATATCCATGCTCATTACAGATTCAGTCGGGCCTGTAAAAGTCTAGTAGCGATGAAAAAAGACTGACATAAGCTGATGTACTGTACAGAATTAAAACTTTCTATTTGCAGGCAGAGGACATGTTAGGAAGATGCCTCGAAATGCAACTTGCAAAAGAATTTTCAACTACAATACTATAATTTACTTGTTTTCGTTTATTTGTGAATGAGCTTGTATATTACTTTTTACAAAGATGATTTCTAAAGCATTATATATTATCATATTTCTCTCATTACTGAATAATTTACTTGAATAATTACGTAATATATCAATATACGGTTTCAATACTTTCAGTTTAATTGCCGTTGATCATATCAACGGCAATTAAACTGAAATTTTACCTTAGAGATAAAAATTCACTTTCTTTAGTTTATTCTCGTTTTACGCAGTCTTAAAGACCACGAAACATTCGAATTTCAAAATAAGATTGCCACATCTTAGTACCACCAGTGGCCAAGCGGTTTCGTCCCCGAACACTGGGAGTTCGGTTCTAAGTACGTGCCTCGCCGAGGACAGGATGGCCACGTGAAGTTTTCACTTGGCCAGCCTGTCCTTGGCATTAATTATAAAAAGAAAATATTCAAAAATTACACATGTTTAGATTCAGTTTTAACTGTAAGAAACAAATTAAAGCTTATTATTGCATCCGGACCGAAATTGTCTTGTATGGAAACGGGTGCACTGAATTCGAAAATGGCCATGAAAATGCTTTATCACGCAATGTTACAGGTATCTTTCAGTATGTAGGGAAATATATACAATAAACATGTGGTATTGTATATTGTATAAACATGTGGTATTGTAGATTTTTTATTTGCTTATTAAACTTCATATATAGAACTTTTACATATATAATAACAGAAAGTGTCGTACCACGGACTTTCTGTTATTTTCACTGTTGCTTTCTCTTTTGAGTGTGCAGCGATAATTTTTGAGCATAGCTGGTTTCTGCTAACGAAATTTAATTTCAGAAATGGCCTGATGTTTCCCTGTTCGTCGATCGCATCATTCAAGTTGTGTGGAAATATGCCGAGATAAGATGTGACGTCTGGTAACACCATTAGCTATGACACTAGAAATTCGTGATTATTTTTCAGAAATCCAGTCATCACAACTTTGAATGAATGCCAAGCAACTAATCTAACAGGTATTAGCTTTGACTGAAAGATTTTTGTTTTTAAGGAGGGTTTTTTTTTATTTTAGGTCACTGAAGATTGTTTTCTTGCTGTTGTCAGTTTCGGGAAAACTCCTTGAAAATAAATAAATTCACTTTCATCGTTTCCCAAGGTTTTTACGAAGTCTTTCGTTAATTTAAGTTTAATGTCAAAGGGGAGGGGAAGAGAAATGGTTCCTTACGGCACACATTTTACATTTCTTTCTCTAGGTATGTATTTTCCTCTCTTTTTCAAATCTCTATTATCACATTGTTTGTTTGTCTGTTTCCAGACTGTTTCACAGACGGAAAAAGCTGCAAGTTTAGTAAACACCTCTTGAATAATTTACAATATTTGCTTAATTTGATTAATTTACTTTAAATAATTACAAGAATAATCTCTCAAGTAATGCGATAACCTTAAAATCGGCACAGATTATTTATCAATGACTGCTCTATTTTTTAAACAATATATCATTTCTTTCTCGTTACGAGATTTTGCAAACAACAAAATTTACCTTATTTTTATATGTCCGTGCAATTTACATTTTATTCTAAAAAACTACAAATATAAAAAATTGTTGCACGATTAAATTATGGTGGTCCTAGGCAGTTGCTTTTTCTTGTCCGTAGGATAATACGCCACTTTGAAAGAACATCGTAAATACAGATATTTGGGGTGCAATTCGAAAAAATTGTAGATCTATAAATTTCCGTTATTGTCTGTTTGTTTGTGTGTCCGTCTCTCTTTCCTTAAATTCGAGAACGGAATTAAATGAAAAACGAGACCAGATATGGAAACCTGATGGGCAGGAGGTGGAACCTACAACAATAAACTATAGCCTATGTGAACGTTCTAAAAAGTCTAGTTGTTTAAATTCAAAATAAACGAAAAATATCACAAATTTACGATATAACCAGCAGCAATTTCAATGTAAATGATGTAAATAAGCGCATTCTATATACAATGCCATTTGTGACCGCCCAGAAAACTAGTCTGGTGACCGCGATAACTTGAAATTGCCTGTAGTCATTTTGTCCGAATCAATATAATTATTTATTATTACTTATTTTATGCTATCGTGAAAAAAATTCAGAAGTCAATTAAAAATTACCGAAAAGTTTTAATATTTTACTGTATTACAAATGTTTATTTGTAAAACAGAGAAATTCTAATGGCGGTCCACCTATTAACAGTTATTATTTTTTTAGAACTTTTTTTAAACAAAAACGCATACAAAATCACCTCTAAAAATAATAAACTACGCCAGCTTTTACGTCTTTGTTCGTGATTGTTCATAGGTTTGACCGTATTAAGATATTTATTTAAACAGTTGGCATTTTGTAAATATAATTACTCGTTTTTAACGTGTAAATTTTTTATTTGCTTATTAAACTTCATATATAGAATATTTTACATATATAAATAAAAATTTTCATAATAATTAAAGATTTGAATATAAAAATTTTCGATTTAGAATTATTCTAAAGGAATACAAACAGTTTTCACACAAATGACTCATCCTTAGAGAATAATGCAGTTTTATCCTGTGTTTTTCATTGAAATTATTTAACTAAACGGAAATTCATGTCGAAAATGTCAGCTATAGAAAATACACAATACTTTGTTATTACTTTTAATGATATCCTTTTAAAATAATCCGAAGGTCAGTGTCTGATACAATAAAGTAGTGACAAATTACACAAAATTCAAAATATAAAAGAATGCCGTAATAATCTAAGTGAAACTTATTTTTCAATAGAAATTACGAAAGCCATTCTTCACTCTTTTACTAAAATAAAGTTTATTGTTGAATCTGAAAAGCCATTTTATCACAGGATATAATCAGTTCTTAGTCATCGAGATACACAAGAATCGCTGGATTGTATTTTGTTCGTTTCAATGAATCTTAAATCTTTTATTTTTAAAATCGTTTGGTTTGTGAAAATCCAACACAGGAAGTTCAATTGAATACTTTCAATCGGTTAAACAGGGGCCTGTATATGATATAATCAGTATTAGTCACTTGAATTTGTTTCCAATAAGGTAAATGTAGCCAGCTATTGTAAACAGTAACTAGAAGTAACTATAACCAACTCTTGTAATTGAGGTCAGGTAAGAATTTTCATAATATTTTATAATTTCATAAACGTTTGCAACAAAATCATATACTTTTTTATTTAGTTTTATTCTATTTGATTCCATAACAATGAAGTCTATGGATGGTACTTTTATAAATGTTTTATTGGTGTTGGATACGTTAGTTTTTAATGCTGTTTGTCTACCAAATATCCAGAAAATCGAATCGGAATGGTNATATCTTGAAAAGCAATAAGAGAAAAACAAGAATATTCCAGTAAACTTACTGAATTGAGAGCATCCCCATCCTGCAGAATATACTCCTCTCCATGTTTCTGTTAAATTTAAAGTTTTATGCGGAAGAGCAGCAGGCATAATAGTACTCGATATAGTTATTGGTTTTTTAAGAAATAGTAAAGCTATATTGTCTTCTTCTGACGAACATTTATACGATTTGTGAATGACATAGTTTTTGAAAAAAATCTTAGTTCCTTTATACCTATGAGTCGAAAGGAATCTTGAAGAAATCCGTCAAGAGTAAGAAGCCTTGGTGGAATAGGGTTTTCTTTTTCTGCAGGAAGTAAACTTTTCTTGTGCCGAGGTTACCTTCTTTCGAAGTCGACTTTGCCAAGCGCAAATGACCTTTCACCCGACTAGGACTTAATGAAGTAGACTCGGCTTTTCATCCGGCTTGGTTTCTTTTCTTTCCANTAAAAGTTTTAATATTTTACTGTATTACAAATGTTTATTTGTAAAACAGAGAAATTCTAATGGCGGTCCACCTATTAACAGTTATTATTTTTTTAGAACTTTTTTTAAACAAAAACGCATACAAAATCACCTCTAAAAATAATAAACTACGCCAGCTTTTACGTCTTTGTTCGTGATTGTTCATAGGTTTGACTGTATTAAGATATTTATTTAAACAGTTGGCATTTTGTAAATATAATTACTCGTTTTTAACGTGTAAATTTTTTATTTGCTTATTAAACTTCATATATAGAATATTTTACATATATAAATAAAAATTTTCATAATAATTAAAGATTTGAATATAAAAATTTTCGATTTAGAATTATTCTAAAGGAATACAAACAGTTTTCACACAAATGACTCATCCTTAGAGAATAATGCAGTTTTATCCTGTGTTTTTCATTGAAATTATTTAACTAAACGGAAATTCATGTCGAAAATGTCAGCTATAGAAAATACACAATACTTTGTTATTACTTTTAATGATATCCTTTTAAAATAATCCGAAGGTCAGTGTCTGATACAATAAAGTAGTGACAAATTACACAAAATTCAAAATATAAAAGAATGCCGTAATAATCTAAGTGAAACTTATTTTTCAATAGAAATTACGAAAGCCATTCTTCACTCTTTTACTAAAATAAAGTTTATTGTTGAATCTGAAAAGCCATTTTATCACAGGATATAATCAGTTCTTAGTCATCGAGATACACAAGAATCGCTGGATTGTATTTTGTTCGTTTCAATGAATCTTAAATCTTTTATTTTTAAAATCGTTTGGTTTGTGAAAATCCAACACAGGAAGTTCAATTGAATACTTTCAATCGGTTAAACAGGGGCCTGTATATGATATAATCAGTATTAGTCACTTGAATTTGTTTCCAATAAGGTAAATGTAGCCAGCTATTGTAAACAGTAACTAGAAGTAACTATAACCAACTCTTGTAATTGAGGTCAGGTAAGAATTTTCATAATATTTTATAATTTCATAAACGTTTGCAACAAAATCATATACTTTTTTATTTAGTTTTATTCTATTTGATTCCATAACAATGAAGTCTATGGATGGTACTTTTATAAATGTTTTATTGGTGTTGGATACGTTAGTTTTTAATGCTGTTTGTCTACCAAATATCCAGAAAATCGAATCGGAATGGTTGGAAGAATATTGTAGTTAGTATATTTTATTATAAATATTATTTCTACAGCTTAGTTTATTATATAATATTGTTAGGATTATTTATAAAAATTATAATACATTATAATATGTTAATAATTTTTTAAATTCTTACACTGGATAGCATTGTTAATAGTAGACTTCATCGAAACGTTGCTATTTAGAGAGCTAAGATCGATATTTCAGCATAAGTATATATTTAATATCGCTATCTGATGTTAATAATATCGATGACACCCCAAGAAAATCTGTTCGAGTCGAGTCAGATCCTCAAAAATTTTATAGAAGATAGACCTAGTGATTTAGCTGTGGATTAATTTTGGTAGAGCAAACAACTAAGCTTATAAAAACTCATTGCTAATGTAATTTATTTTATTGATACAGACATCAAAACAACAACAAAAAACTTCCAGTGGGCCTCTGCCATCTGCAAAATAACAAAAATTTTCTATCATTATTACATTTAAATATTTTTTATTAAAATTATTCATAATTCTTTATTCCTCTTAGTTAACAACATTAATTGTATTTTAATTATTGAATATTTATGAAAATTAACTTTTTTATAATAAAAATAATTAAATAATGTAAAAAGTAATTCTAAGAATTTATTTGCTAGTAGTCAGATCGATAAAAGAATTATTTATTATTTTTTTAATAATTAATTTAAATTATTATTGTTGTATAAAGTTTTCTTGTAATTGTAATAAAAAATTATATAAATATAATTTAATTTTTTAAATTACTTCAATTGGATGTTCAACTATATTTGCATAACGAATACAGTTAAACCTCCAATGTGAATAGAAGCTTTATTTTTACGCTTTTAATGTTATTTTTATGGTTGTTTTTTTTCGACTAATTTGGACGTCTGTAGCTACAATCAATCTTTCATTCCGAATGTATATACTTAATAGAAGATAAAAGTACGTTGCATTAACGAAAATTAATTTAGAAATGAAAAAGAAGGTCGGTGTGACTAAATAATAGATTAGATCCAAATTATTTGTTCAGCTTTGATAGAAACATCAAAATACTGGACTATCTAAGGTTTAGAAAGTGAACGATAATGATTAATTATTGAATTTAATAAAAAATAGAGATGTATATACAATAACAAGACAGTAACGACTATTTCCTGATAAAGTAAGCTGCAAGCTATTTATATAGGTTACATTTATGTAGGCTGTAAGCTATTTATGAAAAACTTTATCAAAACAAAAGTATGAAGTCGATAAAAATTATTTTAAAGTTTGAAGACACAAAAATGGATGCTTGAAAATGATAAAATCAAATAAGTAAAGCATGTTTTTATCGATAATCCCGAAGTATGGTTCATTGATATGCCGATACAAGGTAATAAATATATAAACAACATAGTTTGATTTTTTAAAAACTTGTCTTTAATAGTTTTATTGTTAAAGAAAATAACGTAACAACTCATCTTAGTTTTTTAACTGAGCATATTCAGTCTAAACTTCAATTAATATTAACAGAACAATTGAATTCTGTCGATGTCAAACTGAAATTACTACAAAACTGTTTAATCGCTATATATCAATTAACAATATGAAGTATAAAAATTAATATAATAATTTATTAGATAGATTGATTTAATTGATGTTGTTGCGACCGGTTGTCGTTTTCTCTGCAAGGCACAAAACTTGCTGAAAATATAGGTCGATGACACTAAATGTTATACTGTAAGTAGGTATTAAAGTGTTACTAAAAACCGTTTACTTATAAGCATCGGTGGTTCAGTGGTAGAATGCTCGCCTGCCACGCGGGCGGCCCGGGTTCGATTCCCGGCCGATGCAATTTTATTTTACTCAAACTTACGTTTATTACTTTTATATCATCATCTTTAATGACGTTTACTTAAGATAACTACATTTATATGTAGGTAATTAAATCAATTTCTTCGTCATAGTTACTACTACTTTTCAGAGGATCCATAAAAGATATAAAACAAAAAACTTTAATAATGTCTTTAATACTTTTGTTAAAAATTGTCAAGAATTCAGAGCATTGGAAAATAATACTTTAAAAGACAGCTTCATCTACAGATATGTATAATGTATATATAATATATGATAATAACTATATAATATATATTCATATAAACATATGAATACATATTATATAGTTATTATCAGTTTTTATAGACAATATGAATATATATTGGCTACAAATAATAATAATGAACTTTTACATCTGGGATTCTGAGAGTTTGGTATGGTCATTATATCCATTGTTATTTACTTTTGTTCTCTGATCAATGACATAAATATACAGCATAGTGAAAACATTTTAGTTTTATGTTTTTGAATATATAGAGATTTTATTATACTGTATCGAGCACAACTTGAGAAAAATAATGCAAATCACTGTATTCACCACAGTGAAAAGCATTTAGTAATTCTTCGTCTTCGGAGAAACACGGTTTATTTTTTTAAAGAATTTATTCAGTGACACTGAAAGCGTAGATGTAGTTGTTTTTTTGAGAAACATTGTAATGAGAAAGCTGCTGTTTTATTTGATTTAATTCTCCGAACATAGTTGTGCATGATATTAAAATATTAATTTTTTCATATAGTTTATTGCCGTATTATAATCTATATTCGTTTCCTCTTATAACGTTTTCTCAAAATTATAACAGTTTATAATTTTTATATCCTTATTACTCTTTTTCGCAATAAATTTCACAATATTAATAGTAAGCGTGCTTATTAAAAGTCAAGATTAGCCCTGCAGCACCGTGCATTCAAGAGTTAACCTAATTATTGACGAAAACAAGAATCTGCGTATATTAATTCTTCATAAAATAAGACTCCACCTTAAGTAATATGTAAAATAACTGATATTTATTAAGAATATAATCAAAATGTTACTAACCTTTTATTTTTTCTATTTACTAATCAATTAATAACACTCCTCGGCGTTATCCAGTTCTAGCCTGAGTTAAATACTTCACCCAAGCCCGATAAGAAAAAGTCCGAAAGTACGAAGCCCTCGCCGCCCACTACCGAAACTTAGGCTACGAGACCTTTATCGACGCTTTTGTCGTAGGAGCCCTGGGCGGCTATGACGCCGCAAACGAATGCGTCATACAACGTCTTGGGATATCCAGGAAATACGCCAAGATGATGCGACACCTAATGGCAAGCGATTGCATCAGCCACAGTAGAGAAATCTACATGCGGCACCTTGGCAATCGCCCCCGCAAGTAATTGGACTCTCTTCCACCCGTGTTATGTACCGCGCTTTGTCAGGCCTGAGCCCATGTAACCGCGTCTCTATATTGGCTGGCTAGTGCCCATGGAACGCGTCTAGGGGTTCGTACCCCAACCTTTTTGTATATATACCTTTACCAACTCATATGTATCTCTCTGGCTGGCTATGTGCCCATGGTAACTCATTTACTTATACATATTCCATCTGTATATATTTTATATTTATCAATAAATGGCTTTTAGCTCTGCCGGATTAACTTTTAGGCTCAAACTTTGCTAATTGATATAATATATATTACGTAATTTGAACTAAAGATAGATTACTAAGCTTATATTTTGTCCAAATTATATATTATATTAGCCTACTTCATACATTATCTATCTATCTACTCAAAAAATGCCAAGTTTCTTTTACATATTATATTGTTAAATAAAAATAAATATTTTATTTCTAAATTAATTACTTTAGTATATTTATAATATATATTATTAAATTTATCAGTCACAAATAATAAATAAGGTAAATGACATTTAATGTATATTTTAAGTATCGTCGGAAGAACGGAAGAAAGCTTTCACTAATTGTATCGAAAGTTATTTTACAGAAGATTTAAGATCGGCCGTAAGAATATAATTCTAAATTTATTATCTTTGTTAATATGAAAGACATTTAACGTTTGTTTTTACCTTTCCAGAGTTCAGATTTTTCTAAATGCCTGAATTGCTCCTCCCTAACTGATGTTCTTAATAAATTATGCTCCGTCACTTACGAAAACGTAATTTTCGACATTTTTTTATTGTAAAAAATGAAATATAGTTATTTAAATATGAGAGAATTGATCTATATTTTATAATTATAAAATAGAATTCGTAAATATTATATAGAACTAATTTATATTTTCAGTATATGGAATTCTTTCCGGTTTTCCTAAAATGCTTGGAAGAAATACAAACTAATGAAGAATATATTAATGTAAATATAAATACAATTTTATTCTTGTTATTCGAGATTAAATTCATTAAAACTATTATTTTGTAGCTTCAGGAATTTCCCAAAGGAAAAACAGAAGAATGTTTACAAAATCCAAAAGCAATAAGTAATATTTTAAATTATATTAATCTTTAACATATGTTAATAAATATTCGATAAACTAATTGAAATATCTTTTATTATTTCAGATTATAAAAAGTAGGAATATCTTCAAATTAATTAATCAAGTGTTATTATTCTTTAATAGCTAAAGTATTTTAAACACATACACACACTTGTTTCTTCATTCATAAAAGTGTAAAGAATACTAAGTTATAAAATATTATTGCTTTTTTAAACTAGTAAATATGAAAATAGAAACACATTTGGATTTTTTTTAACTTGTTAAAAAGAACTAAATAACGATTTGTAAAATATATTGGTAAATACATTTTGCGATACAAATAACGATAATAATAATAAAAATAAAAATAACGATACAAATAAACCAGAGTAGAAAACAATAGAGAAATAGCTTAAATATTAATCGTTTTAAACTGATTATATTTTATACAGTAAAACCTGTCTAAACGGAAACCAAATAAAATGAAAACTTGCCTAAAAGGAAAAACCTCGGTACAATGCGATTCCTGTTTACACAATTTTTACTGTATGCATATATTTAAAAGATCCAGAAGGACCCAAAGAGAGCGTTAGATCCCTTTGGGTTCTTCTGGGTCTTCTGAACTTTTGACTTATTTTTGAGTTATCAAAAATTAAAGATATTAATATAATAATTACCTTTCATATATCGAGACGATTGTATTAAGGACGTCCGATAAACTAGAGCAGGGGTGAGAACCTTTTTGAACCCCCGCCATTTAAAGGAGAATACTTAGCTTAAAAATGTTTATGCGTGCCAACGTTTTAGATTTCGAATAACGATATTTAAAGAAATTAAACGAATATGCTTTACTTTGAATAAATGTAAAAAAGCTGTTTGAAAAAAGGAAGATCGGGTGATAAACCGAAAGGATGATTGAAAAAAAAAACACTACCTGAACTACTATAAATGTTTTTAAAATTAACGTTTTAAAGTTCGAACAAATAAATTTTATTATTTTTTTGTGTCAAGAGAGCTTAAACCCTGTAGTTCTATATTTATTTATTTTTCTACCTCAAGAAAAATTCTCTTCTTATTCTCTATTCGCATACATATGCGCATACTCTATTTGTGCCATTTCACAAATTCAGAGATAATTAAAATATGGATAGACTTCAATATCGCATAAATCATAAATCTCGTAAATTTTATGAATCAGCAGAATAATACAATTTAATTAGAGTTTAAAACTGAATTAAGATATGTTTACGACTTTTCCTCCTGTCTGCTTCCTATCAGGTTGAGCTAAAGCTACTTCCTTCAACTTATTAGAAACCAGTTTTCTAGGTCGATGACATTATAAACTATTAATAAGATTATAGCATTTATAAGCATCGGTGGTTCAGTGGTAGAATGCTCGCCTGCCACGCGGGCGGCCCGGGTTCGATTTCCGGCCGATGCATTTAATTTTGCTTAAGATATTTTTTGTTAATTTTACAGTATCTTTAATACTGAGTAATTATTATATATATTTTAATTATCAGTAAGTAATTGTGTAATTAGGTGTATTGTTATACTTAATGCAATATAACTTTGTGTAAATGTTGTAAGAAATCGTCTGTAATAATTATAACAAAACATTTGTACCGTGATATTACATTAATGACTCCAGTGATGATTAGAATGCTCTTTCTCAATGAAGACAAGATGATGGTGGATTACCCTTGCAGGTCATCGTCTGAAAGAACCGGACCACATTCATTTTATCTCAATAAGTCATTATTTCTTAATATTGCAAAGCACAGCTTAGTCTAAAAGAAACAGAGGTTCGTAAAATTCGTTAGACAGGAAATTGTTCTTCATGATTATATTTCTTAAATAGAAAAAGAAAAAAGATAATATAAGTAGCAAATAAATAAATAACTAAATTAAATTTGCAGAATTAACCATGATAAAAATTGATGAAAAAATACAAAATATAAAAGGTATTATTAGAATGGTAAAAACATACGTAGACGATTATTTAATAATATTTAACAATAAAATAACAANGTTTTCTTGTGCATTCTTGACAATGTTAGGGCCCCCTCAATCGCGGGGCCCCGGTGCACAGCATCCGCCGCACCCCCCCGATGGCCGGCCCTGATCACACAGATTAATATGTACCCCTAAGTCTCTGGAACGGAATACATGCACTAGTGAACCTATAACTACGCGATTTATATTTTAAAAATAATTAAGTTATTTTAGCATTCAAAACTTGTGAATTTTGAAAAAAAGAAATTTGCTGATTAAATACAGACAACCGTTTAACTGATGTAAAACGGGTTTTCCCCTTGCTATGGATGTCTGCCTAGTTCAGTTCAGCCACATTCCGCTACAGTTCGCCTTTATTATCAGTTCGAAATGGCGTGGTTCCATAATACCCGCAGTGTTCCATAATACCACCTTCTCCTCTATAATATTTATATTTTGTAGTACTGAAGAGGGTTCTTTAATAGGACCGAAATGCATATACAGTGATTAAATAAAGAGAAGTAATTAGCTATCTGCTGTGTGATGGTCTACCGCTAAACCGAAAATTTATATATTTTTCGTGCGGATTTACAGAGACTTTATAATATTTATATATAAACAGCAGTCATAAGAAATTTAATTAATATGATATTA